ATTGCATTCACCCAAGTCCCTCACACATGCATCCTAACAATGAATGAATGCATAAATAAAAGTTCAAGGAAGTGCTGGATTCACTGTAGTCATGACTCAGCCATGCTTAAGTAAGCGAGAAGATGAACTGTCAGGAGCTTCTTGGTTTTGAGCTGATCAGCTGAACTACTAAAATGTTCCTTCATGAATACATCTGCAGTTGCATTAAGTATGTGAGAAATAATTAAAAAAGAATAATTTGGTGTATGATGATACGGCAAATAGGCCTTGTAGCATACACTTAGAGTGACTGTATTTCCAGGCATCTGACTAGATTATATCTAAAATAATGCAGTCTCTTCCATACAAATACCACATTACAGGTATGAAAGCTAAAAATATTGTAAAAACAAAGGTGGAATTCTTCCTGCCCTAGCTGTGAAAAAGCCATGTTCTGAACCAAAGGCCATCCAAATTACCAGCCAGCACACTCACCTACGCTGCAGGACTGAATATTAACTACTCTGGGCCCAAAATGATTGTGATGCTGGACAGCAGAGGACATCACCAAATAATGTATAGAGTAGTAAGTTTAAGTCATTCCATCAATGCTGAGGTTTTTTTAATGTCCAAATATCACAACAGCTTGAATGTCCTGCAGCTACCCTAAAGCAGCTGGCCAGAACAATCAGAAATTTTATTCAGATTGATTTAAAGCTAGGGGCATGAATAAACAAACAATAAAAGAAAAATTAACTTTGCAAAGCGTTTGGTAAAAGTATTGGGTACTTGGGAAACTTGGAAAAAGTTCTTACATATTGAGCATATAATTAATATTCCATGGGATCAATGACTTTGTCTGCTTATGGGATTTATTCTCTATTTTCTTCATCTAATGAAAATTGGATTTTTTTTTCTCCATAACCTGATTTCTATCAGGACCATAATGTAGACCGGGATTCCATTTCATAATCATGAATTTTTGAAGGAACCTCTTTAAGGCTCCAGAATAGTGATTTTCTGCACCACTGAGCCTGCCTTTTTTATTAACAGAGATTGATTTTCCCCATCTTGGCATGTGAAGTTCCAGGGTGTATCCTCTGGATCATCACCCTGTAATGTGCAGTGGTATCAACAGCACAAAATGTGAATACTTCAACTTTAACATTGTCAGAAATAGGAGCTTTGTAGATCACCAGTGTGAGAAGACTCTCTGAAGAAACTGGTATTTTGAGAAGCCACCAAAAGCTGTTTGCTATAGGAATGAAAATGTACAGTTCTCGTGAACCAAACTATTCTGTACTGGATATATTATAGTTCCCACAGAGAGGTTCAAAATGGACAATATTGTCCATTTTGATAAAACTTCCCTATTTTGAGGAATCCGAGTGATTTCAGTGGAAGCAGCTCACAACAAATAAATATGTATAGGTCTTGTAGGACTGTCATTAGGAAGACTGACCATGTAGAATCATAGAATCGTTTAGGTCAGAAAGACCTTTAAGATCATCAAGCGTTAAAATGCCAAGTTCACCACGAAATGTGATCGTGACTGTGTACAACAGTTGCCAGTCACAGCGAAAGATGTGCTCATCAAAAGGCTGCGTGGGCTTCTGAAAACACGCTACATCAGTGCAGCCTGGAGCTTCATTTCAGCTACGCCTCTTCCAGGTGAGCTCTCAGAGGGACATGCTAGCTGAAGGCGTGTGTACTGACCATGCAACCATGCAAGGAAGAAAATAATTAAATTCAAAATTTTGTAGAAAAGATACACTACTACCTTTTTTTCTATTTTTTTTCATCAGGATACCTACTTACTGGTACGAGTGATAGGAAGGCACAATTTTCAGTGCACCTTCCCAAACAACTCCATAGCATGAGATTGCCTGGGCTAGCACAATAAGCAGGAATTTATCAAGTGGAACACAAACTGTCAGGGATGTGGAAATTTATTTAGGACAAAGCTTCCAGAAAGAGTAAAATGGAGCCCAAGGAAGCAGCTAGATATCCAGCATCTCCAGAGCAGAGATTTCAGGTTGTCACTAGGTATTCTCTGAATCTATGAGAAAAGCATTGAAAAGATCCTGTAATTATTCCTTTGACATTGTTCCTTTGCAGAGCAAATCAAATGCACAAACTCAGGGAAAAATGCACACAGTGAACTGAAGCAGAAAACATATTAATTATAAATACGGAGATTGGGAGGTTTAAGTCCTGTTCATTACTATTTTTCTAGCCTTAT